AATAGGTGTATAGTAGCATCTCATTGTTTTAATTTGCAGTCTCTGGTGACATATGATATTAATCATCTTTTCGTGGTGCTTATTTGCCATCTGTATATCATCAGCAAGATATTTGCTCAGGTCTTTTGTCCAATTTTAAAATCACGGTGTTCATTTTCTTATTGTTGAATTTAAAAATTTCTTTGTAGATTTTGGAGCTATTGGTATTTTTATTTGAATTATTATTATCTTAAGTGCTTGGACAAGAGTTTCATTGAAACCTCAGCATTTTAACCAGCAAAACATGAAAATGTTTTCTCATTTTTTGGAGGGAGGTGGAGAAATGATCTTCACTTGAAAAAATAAAAATGAAAAGATGTTCTCCTAGGTTACTTTGATCCAGAAAGAACTTCAGGCTGCCTCTTAAGTAGAGCTGTGACTTCATGGGCCCTCCATGCTGTAATACTCTCCCCACAAAATTAGTTTGTGCCATGTGTTTTTCAATGGTTGCCTTATTGAGGAGTGGGAAGTACCTGCTTAGCACAGTATTGCCTTTCTTTGTTAGGAATCTGTGGATTCACAGGGTGCTCTGCTGTTATCAGGGTGGTGACATTACACCTATTAGCAAGTCTCCTCAACTTGCAGAGAACTGCTCTGGCCTGAATCATTCTGTAGAAAAACTAGTTACTAATGCTATTGAAGAAAAATATGTCCCATGATAGATGGAGGGATTATATTATCTGATTTCCATTCTCCCACCCTTCACTGTGCGTCAATAGATTTATATCATGGGATTCATTTTCATTTTATGTCTTTTTATTTACGCACCAATTCTTTTGCAAGTAATTTTAATTCTTCATTTTATGAGAGTGAGGCTCTGTGCCAGTGTACTCCTATATAAAATAAAGGAAATGATTGTTTTTAATGCAGATTTGAAAGAAATATAATGGATTTCAGTTACACCAATTTCTCCCCATTTAGATGAGATGAACACCTAGTTAGATGAGGAACGTCATTCCTCATATAATTTGAATACATCCTGTTTCCATGACAACTTGTACTTACCAGCTTGCCTGGTAAAAGAAGTGCTTGAATTCTTCCTTTGATAAAAGATTTGACCAAACACTGGGGCCCCAGTTTCTTAATTCCAATAATTTCATTCCAGCCTGGGGCCAGTTTTCTTTGTAACATGGGATGATGTTGAGGACTAGAAACCAAAAACTATTTTAGAGGTGAATTCATCTTCAAAATAAAAGGAGAGGACTCATAGGCCGAATACTAATGAGCACGAGAAATGAAGATACTTGTGCAGGTCATAGTCATGTTCTGATATCTTCCAGTTAAATTGAATCAACAGAGATGATGCAACAACTTATGAAGATGCTATTTGATTTGACAAAGAATGATTCAGTTACTCATTTCCATCCGGACGTTATAATCAGTTGGCTTGTTTTTTTCACTGCTAATTTATATCTTGCCATTATGGGTGGCTTGTGCCCTCTTACTGCTGAATTTCAATTCTAATAAGGAGTATGGTTTTATTAATGATTTTCCCTCAGAATGAAAAATAGGAAATTATTTGCATCATTAACTGTGCTTTTGCAAACTATGAAAAACACGATACTATGTTTAATTGACAAACTTATGTTTCATATGTTATAAAATATTTTAGTCCAATAAGGCAAGCAGACATGACCCTTAGGCACTTTAGGAATGATAGGGACTCATCCCAAATTTAGGATAATTCACAGTGTATTTTTGAGTGACCTGGTAGGTTTTGAAAGGACAAAAGTGACTCAGCTATCTCCAAGATAATTGTCAACCACAGTATATATTTGTGACATCAAATACTTGCATAAAGTCATCTGAGGGGTACCATGTTCATCATAGCCTTCATGAGAGCTCGTCTTTTGTAATGATGATGTAGTATGATCAATGTGTGCATATTTTTAGCCTCTGGGAATAAGATACTATCTTACCACAAACACTAAGAAAATTTTAAAGCAAATACCATAAGGTGCAACATGCCATTATGTAGATAATATGTAACTAATAAGAATGAACAGGAAAAGACTGAAAAATTAACAGGATCTTTCTGTATTGTAAGTATGCAATTCCTGCTGATGGTAAAAGAAAAGAGATTCGGTAACTGAAGGGATCTCATTGGCCTAAACACTGCACGTGTCCTCATGTTTCCTAATGGATCATTTTGCACAGTAGTTACAGTTCTAAAAATGTCATGCAATTATGATTTTTTTTAGAAAACAAATAATGCAGCTTCATTTCAAAAATTGCTTTATTTTCCTTTACTAATTGTTCATCAGTTGATAATGGCTTCTCAAACTTTAGTGTACTTAGCTCTTAAGAAGTAAATGACTTATAAAATATTTCAGGCTATACTTTAATGAATGTTTTTAAATCACAGAAGGATTCATTATTCAGATATTTATTGAGTTTCCAGCACATGAGCAGTACTTTATAACAGTCTCTGAGGACCTCAAAGGTGAGCTCCCGACCCCTCAGGAAGCTTGGGTTAAATATGGTACAGGGAAAGATGGTACAGGTGGTCTTTTTGCAGCCTGACTTATCACGTCCTAATATTTTGCCAAGTCAGCTTATATTTTCTGTATCAGGATTTCTTATGTCATAAATATGATTATTTCAGCTTAAAATAAAGCTTTGGAAAGCACAATACACTTCCTCAGAGAACTGGCTTACAAAATGTTCCCCTAAATGATCTATGAACCATAACTGAAAGCCCCAAACAATATTTTATCCTTAAAGCAGCTTCTTAGATGTAAAGAAATGACTTGCTTGCTGTTGATTTGTCCCACTAGGCTAGCTGTTATCAGCCCACAGTGGGGATTAGAGGCCTCCAGGATGGTTGCTGAAATCCTGTGGAACAGGCAGTGCTCCAGGACCTGCTCCTTGCGTATCTACCACGCGCACATTCAAGCATATGTTTTTGGACTTTCCTCTGATCACTTGCCTCTCTACTGCTCATTGTTTCCTCTCTTAAAAATTGCTGAAGACAAATTTGAGGCCTGCCAGTTCACCCCTTCAGTACAGTTTCTGATGTAAACCATCTTTGTATCTCTGATTGATTGGCTGGCCAGTAATATTCAGAACAACTCTTTGATAAGAAGCCAGTGATTGACAGTGTTTATTATAGGGTTGCACATGATAGCCACAATCATTGGTAATAATCTAAGTGCCCAACAGGAGGAGTTGGTTATACGAATCATTACTCCTCCAATCAGCAGAATTCTGTGTGACTACAACAAAGGTCCTTTAATCAGAGCTCTTAGACTGGCCACAAATCCTATATATTTGAAATCATTGGGACTTTTTTTAAATCACGGAAGAGCGTGGTTACTTCCCAGTGCTCTTTTTGTCAGGATAAGGGATTTCCTCCTGGGAAAGTAGTTTGGGCACCGCCCAGCTGTATCTCTGGGACTCTGTGAATCTCCTGTCCCTATCTGGAGTGTGTTAGGTGACTTACTTCCTGTGAGGGAACTTGGCCTGGCCTTTGAAGGATGGTTAGACAATTTAGATGGTCAGAGGAGAGAAGAAAGGTCTAAGGCAAAAGTGTGAAGATAAGAGTACATACGGTGTGTTTACCAAGTGCGAAGTAAGACCGTCATTGATTCAGTAAAGCTGGATCTCCCATGTGCCAGACACTGTGCTAGGAACCCAGAAGACAGTGGTGGAGGGGGTGGGCCCAGGCCTGTCTTCGGGAGCTCATGTTGTGGCAGAGCTGAAAATGCACCAAGAAATAGGGACAAATCTGTTTGGAATATATGTATTTCCATGTATAGCTATATCTCCAAATATATAGATTTAACATATATATTCCAAGTATATGTAAATAGAGTGTATAATTATATCTCTCTAAATATATTTGGAAATATACTTGCAAATGCATTTGGAAAAGGGGGTCAAGGTGTAGACGATTTCAAAGGCTAGATTCCAGATTTCAGTCCTCAGCCTATGAGAAACAGGCAGCGCTTTACGGCTTTTGAACAAAGAAGTAATAGGACAAAAGTGCTTTTTAGGAAGACCAACATGCTGTCCATAAGAAAGATACACTGGCAGAGGAGAAAGACAAGAAATTAGGAGACAAAGCCACAGACTCTTCCTTTCAACCAATATCTGCTGTACACCCAGTTTGTTTCCTTAATAGATGTTGCTGGTGTGCCAGCCTTGGACAGTCCCTGCACTAGGCACTGGGTGGACAAACATGGACAAGAGAGGCCTGGCCCTCTCCACTTGGACTGGATATTCTGGTTCGGAAGATCGGCAGTAGATGTGTGCAGCTGACACATGCCCTGAAAAAAATAATGAGGAAGGGGAGAAGACCTGCTTTAGAGTGGAGGCCTAAGGCAGGAAAAGGAGTCAGCCATGCCAAGCAGAGGGACTAGCAGTTCAGGAGAAAGAACAGCATGTGCAGATGCCCTGTGGCCACAGAGAAGCTTTGAGGCAGGGGGAGAGCTCAGCCACGGGTTTAGAAAGGCAGGAAGGATCCAGAAGATGCCGAGTACTGTTGGTCACCAGAAAGTCTGGGTTTTTTTCTGAGAGCAGGCAGAAGCAAACCAGTGTTTGAGGGCTGTTGGTCAGGCTGCTGTCTGGCAGGAGATGAGAGGGTCGGGTGTTAGAAGCAGGGAGACCTGTTAGGAGGTTGTTGCAGTCCTCCAGACCATGCTTGGCTGACTCAGGAGTAAGGACTGGGAGTGGCTGGCACCAGTGGGAATAAAGAAGGAAGAGCAGGCTGGGCACGGTGGCTCACGTCTGTAATTCCAGCACTTCGGGAGGCTGATGCGGGAGGATCACTTGAGGCCAGGAGTTCAAGACCAGCCTGAGCAACATGGCGAAACTCTGTCTCTACAAAAAATTTTAGAATTAGCAGGGCATGGTGGCACGTGCCTGTAGCTACTGGGGAAGCCGAGATGGGAGGATCACTTGAGCCTGGGAGGTCGAGGCTGCAGTGAGCCAAGATTGTGCTACTCCACTCCAGCCTGGGCAACAGAGCAAGACTCTGTCTCAAAAAAATAGCAATAATGATAATAGAGAACAAGAAAAGAAGAAGGAAGACCAACACGCGGAGTGCAGGCAGATCAGGACGAGAGAACTCAATGTCTGATAGGTGGATGGATGTGGAGAGTGGGACAACCAAACCTCAAGGCCACATTTTCCAGGCTTAGCGAACACATGGACCTCAGTGTCCTCACTGCAAATGCTTAGCACATGCCATTTCCTTTACTCCTTTCTCTTCCATTAGCAGCTCTGAACAAGAGAGGCCTGGCCTGGCCCCTAAAAGACCTTCAGAGGTCTTTTGGAATCTAGAGATTAATAACACTAGTTGAGCTTTTTCTATGTGCAACTTGCAAGGTGCTTTATAGACAATGTTTTCTTATATGTGGCTTAGAGCAGTCCCTTGAGGGTGCTCTTGTTATCTCTGTACCCCAGATGAGGAATCTGGAGCTCAGCAAGGTTAATAACTTCCCAGAGTCACAGGGTTTACCCATGGCAGGATCTTGGTTAGAGCAGGGATCAGTCTCACTCAGAAGCAATCATCTTGAACCACACCGCAGCCTCCCCTGACCCGTGAGTATCCCAGAATAGTTTCAAGTCTCCCCTACCTCTCGAAGCCATTGCTCTAGAATTGACCAGCTGCAACACACCTTTGTTGGAAGCTTCAGTCAGGGCCTGTGCCCCAGGCCAGACCCTTCCTGTGCCCTGTACCTACGGGAACTGAAGACTGCCATCTAGTGGCCATTGCCTTCTTTTTTCTTTTGCTGTTAAAAGAAAGGAAAACGGAGTTCCCACATAAAAGACAGGCCTGCATATTTATAGTATCACACCCTGTAAACAGGAAACTTCTCAGTCTTAGAGAAGGAGCCCAGCAACATAAACAGCATATTGCCAATGAGTTCCCCCATCCATTCAACAAACACTTAAATACACACACACACATTCTATTGGAATGTAGGCTCCCTGAGACAGGAATTTCTTTGGTCTGTATTGCTAATGAACCTGGAGAGCTTAGAGCAGTCGCATTTGCATAGCAGACATGCAACAAATATTTATTGAGTGTGGAATGAATGAATGCCTGACATTTAGTATATCTTTACTATATACCAGACAGTTGACATGTACATTTTCTCATTTAGTCCTAATGATAACTCAAGAGATAGAGACCATTAGCATGTCCAGTCCTCACATGCGGAGACTGAGGCACAGAGAGAATAGGAAGCTTGCCAGCTTTAGGGAGAACTAGCTTTGACCCAGGTTTTCTGACATTAGAGACCGTGTGTTCCCTCCTTTCGAGGGAACCACTGGCCAGTTCCCTCCCATGTTCTGCCTTTATTGAGTGGAAGGCTCCCTTCCCAAAGTGTTGAGACAGAGGCCATCAATGGAGGGAATGGCACTAGCTAACTCTGGCTGTGTGACTTCCAGTGTCCCTGAACCCCAGATTCCTCGTTGAGTAAAGGAGGAGACTGAGTTAGGACCCCTGCCTTCCCTTCCAGCGTCATCATTCTGCTGTTCCTGTGACTCCCAGGGAGCGGATGTGAGTAGAAGAGAGAGGACCACTTGTTGCTAGGCAACCAGCACCCACCTCACCCATGTTGCCATGGTGATGATGAAAGTTGGGCTGATGGGATTACCAGCTCCTGCTAATTGCATATGAGCGCTCAGGTTTCTGTCTCTTTCTTGCCTGCTTCCTTGCTCTGACTTTCTCATTCTTCTAGGAACTGTAGAGAGATTTCCCCCTCTCCTCCATCTGCAGCCTCCCTGAGGCAGCCTTAGTGCAATGGAAAGCAACTGGGAATGGAGCCTGTCTGTGTGTCTGAATAGCTGTGTGACCTTGGGCAGGTTACCCAGCTTCTCTGGGCCTTTCTTTTCTCATTTGGAAAATGAAGGTGTTGGAACAGTGATCCCTGTCTAAGGTTCTTCCCCGCTCTCAAATCCTTTGATGCCTAGGGAGCATGTCAGGGGAGCAGACCACACTGTTACTAGGCAACCAGCAGGCACCCTGCCCAAGTTGCCTTGGTGACTGGATGCTGGAGGGGAGGGGAGTAGCTGCTGCAGCTAATTGCTTAATTATTTATGAGTGCCTCAAGTCCTTCTTGTTGTTTTCATTGCTAGGGGCTGTGGGGTCACCTTCTCTTCCTCTCTTCTGCTACCCCAAGTCGTCTGTGTTGCGTGTCATGCAGTGGGAGAGCACGTTGGTCCGGACCTCAAGCTACCCACGTTCTAGTCCCGCCTCTGTCATTTCCTAGAGCTGTGGCCTCGGGTAAGTCACCTCACCTCTCTGGGCCTCAGTTTCCTCATTTGTAAAGTGATGTGTTTGCTTAGATGATTGCTGAATCCCCTTTCTACCTTGAAATTCTAGTTCCTGCCGTCCAGTTCCCAGATGAGGGAAATTTCCCTAATTTATTATCTTCTAAGAATGATTCTGAAGAGCATTAAAAATAATTAAGTCTCTTACATATTTCAAATAGGAAAGGAATGAAAATTGTGCCCATTGTTCCCTCCTTAGCCATTTTGTATTATCTCTTTTATTAATCTTAAGGTCATTTAAATTTTATCTATTCATATATACCACCTACTTCCAAAAGAAATTTGAGGGATTCAGTGTAAGGTGCATGTATGCTATTAGGTCTTTAAAATAGAAGTAGGAATAAATATAAAAATAGTGATGCTTCTTCATTGGCTAATATTGGTGGTGTGATTGAGCACCAAATGTAATTATGAGCGGCCTGGAAGCCAAAGCAAAAAGAGAGAAAGGTATATAATTGCTATTCAGTAAAGAAAAACTGCCAGACTGTTCCTAGTTCTAAATTCTGGAGGGATTTTTTTCATGTGGTACACATTCCTTTTACAGAAACTGCAGATAAAAATTCTTGACTAGCCCTTTTTTTGCTGAGGATATTGTTAAAGGACATAAGGAAGGAGCTAAACTTGACAGTTTGACTAGTTTTAATCATTAGAAAGCAAAACTTCCTCTCTACCCATGCCTTGGAATTTTATATAGATATGTGTCACTTCGTAAATATAAATTTTCAGAATCAACCATTATTTATAAATCAGCTATATATAAATTCATGTAACCACTTTGCAAAGCAATTTGGCAATGTGTATCAAATTTTTAAATGCAGCCAACAATTCTTCTCCAAACTTATTCTGAGATTAGCTTGTGCAGATGAAGAAAGACATAAATATAAAAATACTTATGGTAGGATTATTTATGTAAGAAAATGTCTAGAAACCACATAAATGTTGGAGGCTAGTGAATTAAATTATATTACTTCTTTACAATGAATTACTTTGCAGCCCTTAAGATAAAGTAGATCTATATATTTTGATATGGAAAAATCTTCAAGGATATAATGTTAAGTAAAATAAGGTGCAGTATTGGTATTGAATGCTTCTATTTCAGTTATAAAAAAATACAGATTTATAACTTAATTAATCTAGATATATGCTTGCATGTGCATACTTGCATTTTTCTGGAAGGAAACTGTTGCCAGTGGTTTCCTCTGGGAATGAAGATTGATAGTCTCGGGAGGGAGGGAGACCTACCAGTCACAGCTTGTTTTTACTATGTGGACTTGTTAGTGTTCCATGTAGAGAGGCAGGAGTGTCTGGCAGTTGAAAGTCTAGACTCTGGAGTGGGAATACCTATGTTCAAATCCCAGCTCTCCCACTTACTAGCTCTGTGACCTTGGGTTATCTTAATCTTATCTCTGTTCCTCATCTGTAAAATGGGTGAATAGTATCTTCCTCATTGGCTTATTGTAAGGATTAAATGAGTTATTAAGGGTAAAGTGCTCAGAGCAGTTTAAACAATGCCATATACCACCCTTCTTGGAAAAATGAAAGGAGATATTAAGCAACAAGATAAATGCATCTAACCAAAAGCACTCTCCTCCGTTTTAGTGTTGGACAGATTTTATAAAATCTGTCATTGCTTCCAACATTGTATGTTGTATGGAAGCTAAATTTAAAGCAGGGGTCACAAAGTAGCAGTCTTGTTTTTTTTATTGTCACTTTATGTGACCTTGATTACCTTTTAGGGAGGGCATCTACTCTGGGATTCATGACAGTTTATGATGATGCTCTGAAGTCCCTGAACTCGTCTTGTTTTGTAGCTCTTCCATCCCAGCGACTGCTCAAGGCATGAACAGAACACATGCTAGGCCAGGTAGAAAGTCAGTGAGGAGATGGAACCCCATGCCCTTCACTGCTCAAGGCCAGAGAGGAACTATCTAGAAATTCAAGTGTAAAGAGGATGTCCATGTTGGTTGCGACATGTGTGTTCACATGCCTCATGCCTTTGCTTTTCTTTTGAAAAAGAAAGTGACAGAGACCTGGGGAGAAGCAGTGTTAGGAGGGTCCCTCCTACTTTGGGCTCAGGAATCTCACCGCCTAAGGGACTTCCTGAGTGCTCAGAGGTACAGGAAGCAGAGCGCTGTGTTCAGAGCTGCCCACTTTCCTCCTTCCTACTCGCAGGTGCTTTAGGGCAGATCTGGATACTTCGGCTGATTTTGGGAAATGTTCTCTGAAGTTAGCCACACGTTAAGCCGGCTTGAGGCCCTCACTGTGGTCACATGGTAGCTCCAGAGGTTGGGATGGGGGCTCTGGCCCCTTCAAATCAGCGGAGTTCGGAAGTATGCTCTCACTAAAAGGAATGCAAAGCCCACCTGCTCCAGCCTCATGCCCCAGTCAGTGGTTCTCCTGTTCATTCTTCTGTCTCGCCCTTTGTTCTGTACTCGCGGGCACTGGAGGCTCTTTATCCATTTGGCCATCGGTTCCCCTCTCCATCTATCTGTCACACCCAACTGTGCTTCCATCTGCCCTCCATCCCTCCTTCCCTCCTCCCGCCATCTGCCAGTCTTCCCTCCATCCTTTTGACTGCTGGTATGTCTGTCCATCCCTCCTTCCCTTGCACCACGTGGGTCTGGGGCTCCATCCCCTGGCCCATCCATCCCTCCATCTGTCCCTAGCCTGCCGCTCCATCCCGCTGCCCTTTTGCATGGCTGCAGAGCCCGCCTGCAGACCGTTCCCAGGTCCCTCTCACCCCCGTGGGCCCTCTAGTCCGTCCCCGGCCGCCACTCCAGGCCAGGCCGTCGGTCCCCCACGCGGGTCCCGCGCCTGTACGGGATCGGCCCTCCATCCCTTCGTGGGCCTGTCTTTGTTCGGCGGCCCCGGCCCGGTGGTGCCTCCCACGGCCCCTACGCGCGGCTCCCAGGCCCTGAAGGCTGCGAGCGGCTGGCAGCCAGGCAGAGGCCGGCGGGGCGGGGCGGGGCGGCCGCGCGGGGGCGGGCGGGCGGCGGGGGGGGCGGGGGGGGGGCCGGGCGGTGACTCGCCCGCGCTCGCTCCGCGCGTCCGCCGTCCGCCCGCCCTGGCGGCCGGGCGGAGAGAAAATGGCGCTGCCCCCAGTACGCCGCGCCCCCGCCGTGCCGAGCCGCCGGGGTCCCGCTCAGCCGCCGCCGCCCCCGAGCCGCCGCTCGGCTTGCAGCAGCTGTCGGCGCTGCACCCCGAGCCGGGCGCGGTCCCGCTGCACTCGCCCTGGACCTTCTGGCTCGACAGGTGAGGGGGCGCGGGGCTTGCTGCACACGGCCCCGACCCGGGTCCTGCTGCCACCGCCGCTTTGTCTCGGCGCGGCCCTTCGCCCCGGCCCCGCTCCGCTGCGGCGCAGACTCTGGCCCCGCCGCGCGTCCGTCTGCGCGTCCCGGGACTCGCCCCGCCGGGTCGGAAGCCAGCTTCGGGCCGCGCCGGGCGGCTGTTGGGCGGCCTCGCCTCCGGGCCGGGGGAGGACCGCGCAGCCCGAAAAGTTTCGGCAACACTTTCTACCTCTTGTTCCCTTCCGAGCGGAACGCGGCGTGCTGGCCGGGCCGTGGGAGAGGGTGGGCGAGCTGGGTGGGGGTGGCCGCGTCCCCACTGCAGGGAGAGGGCTGTCCTGCTTACCCCGCGGGGCGCCTGGGAGCTCAGGACACGACCTCAGCTGTGACAGCGCTCGGAAAAGTTGCCCATCCCTTGGGAGGTGTGCGGTGGTGCAATGATTACTGCACGTCGGGCGCCCCCACCCCGTGTCCGGCCGCTGCTGCCGTGGACTCCTCTTCCAGTTATTCCTCATCCACTGGGCAGGTATTTCCTGAACACGTACGGTGGAGCCACACACCTGCTATGCGGTGGAGATTCAGTAATGAACAGCAGCTCACCTTGTCAGGAGGGGGGTGAATTATGGCTTTCTCAGGGTACAACCCAGGTGCCATCTTTTCAGAAAGGCCCCCTGACTACCGTATCTAAGATAGAAACCTTGCTCCATCGTTTTGTATTCTCTTGTCCTTCCTTTTCTTCCTAATGCTTAATGCAGCTGGATTCTATTATATATGAATTTGTTTACTTTCCGTCTGTCTCCCCAGCTCCTCAACACTTCCCTCAGTTAAGGATAAAAGAGCAGTGGCTTTTTGTGTTTGGACATTTTGGACCTAGAACTGTGCCTGGTCTCTAGTAAGAATACCAGAAATTGTTGATGAATGAATACACGAATGAATGCAAAGCCCCTTCTTAGTGTCTGCCCTGCAGTGGGTGCCCAATGATGACACCTCAAGGTTGTCCCAAGAGCATTTGGAAATTTTGATGAAACCGTGTCTGCTCTGGCTAAGTGTTAGGAAGAAATGTGTGAGTGTTCTGAGAAGTTTGCTTGGTACACACAAACCTGGTTTGAAAAAGGTTTGCGTAAAATGATTGCAAGATTTTTTTTAAAAAGTGGTATCTTTTTTCCTTTTGGGTTCTTATAGCACCCGTCTATAAGAATTGTCACTTGCTGCCATTTTCTTTGCCGGAGACCCAAAAAAGTTGGGGGTGGGGGAGATGGAGTGAGTCTTTCAAAACATTTTCACTTTCATTATGGGATGTGAAGAGAGCGTTATACTGTCATAACAAGAGTGCTTTTGGCAGACCTTAGCAGAATGAAATCATGTGTCTGTTTTCATAGGTGTGCTGCAACTGTGCTATTGTTACCTGGTATCTGTTTTCAAGGTGTTAAACCTGGACCTGTGGTCTAAATTGTGAATAATGCAGACTGGTGGAAACAGTATCAAGACAGTTTCTTTTTAACAGGTCTAAAATTAGTTTACATTTAGGAACAACACTTTTAAGGACTCGTCTAAAATGTCAATACTACAGATAATGCAATCTTTTAAGACTAGTAGCTTAAGATTATAGTAACTTTAATGAAGACACAAACTATATCTTACTATTGATTTACACATTTTTGTTCTCTGA